GTAGGGAAATAGAGAAAAAGAGAGAGAAAAAATAAGAAAGCATCCCACAGGGGGATGACCACACTGCAATCCCTTCACCTCCACTCTCTTCTCCAGATTTTGAGCATACCCAACACCCGACTGATGTGTTTTCAAGCTGCTAGTCCAGGACTCCCAACTGCACAGTCTGCCATGTGGGATTCAGCCACTTTAACCACCACTCCATCTGGCTAACCCTTTTTACATTTTTGTATTTAACTGGAAGCTACCAGTATCAACAAATGTATTGATTATCAGTAATGAGCAAAGCCTTGCTTAGGGTCTAGAAAGAAGAGAAATAACCCTGTCCTTAGAAAGCTTTCCTAACTTAGAGTCATAGTCACACTCATGGAGATTTGTAGTGCTGTATGAACTTAAATTCAGCTTAAGCTCTCTTACATTGCTGAGAAGAGAAAAAAAGATTGGATCATAAGGCTGCTTTGTATTTCAATGTAATATGCCAGAAAGGGTCAGTTCTTTCACAATTTAAACCTTTCTCCCTGCCTCATCAAGGAGTATTGTAGAAAGGTAGCTTCCTTACCAGTATCAGCTTCAAACTTTACAGGCTAGGCTGATGCTTTTTAATAATTTAGGAGTGGATTCCTCAGGGGGGTTCTGTTCCATCAGCCAGGCTCCTTCTAGCAGTTTCTCCCTTATGTTTGGGCTGCCTTTGATTCATGTCAACTATCATCATTAACATCTCCACAGCAACTCCCACTGGAGAAAACAGAGGAGATGAAAAACATCAAATTCACATACTGAAGATATCTTTTTTCTCAGACCTACAAAGTCACACCAACATAATGAACTAAACCTTTTCTGGCTACTTAAAACGGGGAGGAAAGGTCTTATTCTGTGTTCAGTTTACAATTCTATAATCACAGAAACATTTTTAACTCATCTGTCAATAGGAAATTGTTAATAATCGTGTTGTTTTAAATAGTTTAAATCAAATTATTAATACATGTAAAAATTTATTTTCGAAGTAGTGGATAAGAGTATATGCTCTAGAATCAGACAAACCTAGATTTGAACCTTCTTTCTGCTGATTGCTAGTTTTTAATCTGGAATAAATTATTTAATATGGCAGTTTCATTTTTCTTTTCAATGAAATGAAACTAACAATACTTGGGTCATAGGAATGTTATAAAGATTAAATAGAATAAACATTTAGTTTAGCATAGTGCTTGGTACACAGTAAATGTTCAATAAATATTTACTCATTTGTTTAAAAAAAAATTATTGCCAGAGGACATATGTACTTACCAGAGAGTTAAAAAAAAATACTCTGCAATAGAACCTGGTCATGTCACTGTCCTTTTTCCTCCATTTCTCCATTTTAGTAGGATTTGGGTCAAGCACATACTCATGGCCAGTGTGTTTTTCAACTGCCAAGAACAGGGTTTGAGTCACAGTCATCCAAACCAGGTGGTTCCCTATGCATGGTGCTTAAACTCTGTACTATGTGGCCAGCCAGGGCTCCTTTTTTTTTTAAAGGTTTGTTTCCTACAGGGCGCATGCGCTCGCCAGAAAGACAGAGAGAGACTGAGAGACAGAAAGTGAGAAATCACCCCCCGGGGGATGGCCATGCTGCAATCCTTTCTTCTCCATTCTCCTCTCAGGATCCTGGGCACGCATGCACACGTGCCTGGCATGAGTTTAAGCCACCGGGTCCAGGACTCGAACCATGGTCGACTACAGGGGAGTCCAGCAACATAGCCATTATGCTAACTGCTGATCCTGCAGGGCTCCCTTTTTTAACTTTTAAAAAAAGTATTTTCTGGGGCCGACAGGTGGAGTGGTAGTTGAGGGTGCTGGACTCCCACATGACCAACTGTGGTTCGAGTCCCAGACATGACAGCTTGCTTTCTCACTCTCCCCCCCCCTTTCTCTCTCTCACTTTGTCCCTCTCTAGTCAAATTAAAAGCAAACAAATAAATAAATTTAAATGAAATAATTATTTTTATAAAAGGTTTTCCCTTGTTCATGATAGGGTATATACCTGCACAAGGTGGGGGGGCACTCTCTACAAAGTCTGGTCACACCCTTAGGCTCTTCCTCCAGTCCTCTAGCCCATTGGCCCTTGAGGTTTCAGCCTGACTGAACCAGGGATTCAAACCAAGGAGTCCATGTAGGATCTGGCATCTCTTGAACAGCTCACTACCACTGTGCCTCAGAGCTGCCCTTGTTGCTCTTATTAAATATCATTAATCCTGGTAATTAGCTATATCTGCTTCCCCTATTTCTCTAAATAATTCACAGTTGGCCTAACTACAGAGCCCCAATATTGGGGGCATACAATATAGCACTGGAAAAACTGCAATTCAGATGGCTCTTAATGGACAAATTTATAAGTTGAAGCTGACGTCAGAGGAGGGCTTACCAGTTTCATTACTAAAACAATATCATAAAGCAATGAGGGAGTTGGAATATTGTGAAGATTAAATGGGATAAACATGTAATGTAGTGCTTGGCACACAGTAAATGTTCAATACATATTTTTTTGTTAAAAAAGTACTAGAACACATGGGAAAGTCCAGAGTTCTCCTCAAAGGCCTCCCTACACATGCCCATGATCTGAACTGGCTGAGGCCAGAAGAAATAATTTTTTTATTTTTTATTTATTTACTTTTCTTCTAGAGAGACAGAGAAAGTGAGAAGTCACTCCCCCAAGAATAGCTACACCCATCCCTTCTCCTTCATTTTCTTCTCAGGATTTTAGGCACGCAGACTCCTGGTGTGAGTTTTCAAACCACTGGGTCTGGGACTCAAACCACAGTCAGCTATGCAGAAGTCCAGTGCCTTAACCACTATGCCACCCACTGGCCCCCAAAATAAACTTTTTTAAAAAGAGAGTTTTCCATGGGCAAAGTCCATATCTTATTTCATGTCTGTCTACAGTAAGAAATTACATTCTCAGTTGAAATGATGAATGTATTAATCACTCTGATTTAATCATTACACATGTATTCATGTACTGAAAAATCATTATAACACGATGCTAATAAAATTATTTTTTTTTAAAGAAAGGAAAATACATTGAAGAAAATGTCTTTTCAGCAAGTGGTGCTGGAAGAACTGGATATCCAGCTACAGAAAAATTAAGTTGGACCCTGTCTCTCACCATCAACAGGACTCAACTCAGATGGATCAAAGATTTAAATATAAAGCCTCGCTTGGCATGGATGCAAGGGAGGCCACGGCAGGAAAATGGCAGATGGGAAGGTGAGAGAGGAGAAGCCTGAAAAGCCACAGCGATCTGGAGCTGCTGCAGTAATGGAGGGGGAAGTTCCAGTCGTAGCACTGAGAAGCCATCAGCTGAAGAAGCTGTAGACCTCACAACAAAGCTTACAAGGATCTCCGAGTCTGAATTTGCCGTTGGTAATCAGACAGCAAAGAAGGCATCAGCCATATCCATCAAACTTTGTATCAAGTGAGCCTAAAGAGACTACTTCAACTCTTGCTCCAAAAACCCTTTCAGTAGCAGCAGCTTTTAATGAAGACGAAGATGATGAGCCAGAGGAAATGCCTTCAGAAGCAAAGATGAGGATGACAAATATAGGAAGGGATACACCAACATCAGCTGGACCAAATTCCTTCAATAAAGGAAAGCACAGGTTTTCTGATAACCAGAAGTTATGGGAGCTAAATATAAAATCTCATCTTGCAAATGTCCATGACCAAGACAATTGAATAATGTATTTTGAAATTGGGGTGTGGGGTGGGTGTAAAGTTAAAAGGAAGTTTCCTTTTTGTAAAGAATGGTCTGAGACTTGGAGCCACTTTTTTTCTTTGTCATTTTCTTTTTAAGATTAAGTGGAACACTAATAAATG